CTATATATATATATATATATATATATATATATATGATATCGTTATTCACTTTTATTCATAGATATATCTTAGTGATAGACTTATTCAAAGATATCGGCACGATAAGATATCAGAGAGATAACAATGAGCGAATCTTTGATTTTAAAATTATAATTGCATCATTTTATTTTAAATGACATTTTGAAAAGAATATTTCTATGTGAATTCATCTTTTTTTTCAAAACAATAAGGGATTGACTGCAAATTAGAGTACACCTATTTTTGTAAGAATCTTCAAAGTCTTGAAAAAATTGTCAGAATTATATATATTAGAAAAATATGTTTGAACATAAGAAGCACGAATAATTTCAAATTTTGTACGCTGCTCTATTATCAAAAATTCAATCCTTGAAAGACTTAAAAAACTTGCAATTTAACTAAAGTTATTTTTCTTATTCTAATAGCTCATAATCTTATAATTATATTAAACTCTTATAATTAGATCTATAAATTGTTACATTTATATAATCTTAACTATAATTATAACAACCTTAATGATCTTTTGATAATTCAATCGATGTATATTCTGATTCGCATCTAATCTCTTATCTAATTATCTTGAGAAGAAAGATAAATGATGTAACAATAATTATTTTTATAAAATACAAGCTCAAAAGCAATCTGACAAATATCTCTCGTGTCGTATAATATTTTGCAGTAATAATTTACAAAATATTTCGAACAGACTGAATGAATGAATATCTAGAAAGAATCACGGATATCAGGAGAAACTAGATATTATATGATCATTGTATATTTATTTGTTCATACTTTAATTTATAGTAATTATATACGAAAATAAGAACAGGGATTATGAGAAGAAAATGCAAGTATGAGAATGAAGAAGAAAAAAAGGGATGATATATACATATATCTAAATATATGAAATCTCATTAATTTTTTTAAGAAATATATAATAAAATAAAATGTGGAGATTAGGAAAATGTTAGTTTTTTCGCAGGATCTTCGCAAAATACAGTCAAGTATTTAGAAATGTACTGAGTAGTTTAAATTCACTTGCTACTAATAACGAATACAAATTAATAGATCTGATATGGAATAAGTTAAATGGCAATTTCATTGATATTATCGATGAACAATCGACATTAATGTTAATCGTCCGCTACACTTTCGAAAAGCGAATCTGCGACCAGTATGAAAATTTCGGAAATCCTGTTTTGTCGCATATAAAAGTTATGGCAAATAAAGAGTATACGTAATACAGTGATTTACGTGCTTGTTCCATGCAAACGTCCTGATACTATTTTTTTTTTTATTTTTGTTCAGACACGATACAAATCAAGCATCAATTTGCATATTGATGAGTGAAGTTCCCTCCAAATTTCGTCATTGTTTCAAAGCATATGTCACTTTTGACGTAGCACACATTTCTGTAATTTCCCCCCTCATCAATTTGATGCGGCCAAAACCTTGAATCGATTATTGTCAAACTAAAACGAGTATCAACAACGAGTCACGCACAACTCTCTGTATATATACACATAAGAACAATGTATACATTCGCAGAGGTATTAACGTCCCGGTATTCGACGTATAGATTTTTCTCGCAGTACCTAACAACGTCGGTGCGTTACAGGAGTCCACTTGGTCCTATATCAGGGACACAATGGAAGACTTAAGCGCCGTGCCGCAGGAGAAGAGTATGCGCATTTTCTATATAATTCTAATGCAAAAATATACAATGAGTTTATCCATCGTCAACCGGAAACTGTCCCAACAGTCGTAGATTATCTGCTGGAGCGTCTGCAATGTGGTAAGATTTACACGTGGGTCGGCACCCTCCTCCTAGCGCTGAATCCCAACGGCGAAATCTCCACCGGGGACATTTATGACCTGTCGCGAGTCGAGGAGTATGAAAATATCTGCGATGTGTCTCACAAGGAAGTTTCACCTCACATATACGCCGTGGCTGCTCGGGCGCATTACAGGATTGTTCAGAATCTTGGGAAACGGAGTCAGGTATATCCACCCATTCAAAAGATTTAACCCCCCCCCCTCTCTAAAACACCGTACTTTGAAGTCGTATTTTTTATTTTACTTTCGTCATAATTTAGGGTAGTTTTATAGTAGTTTTACTTTGTTGCATCGTTCTTCAGTAGCCAAGCAAATTAAATTTATAATTAAACATTTTAAAATAAATATACATAAATGTATATTAAAAAGCGAAAATTAATTTTCGGTTTATATTCCAAGATCAATGTTTGCTAATTATATTTTAAAATGTAAAATTATTTCTAAGCATGAAAAAGGTTTCTATATATTCTCCGATCTCGACTTTGCCATATACTCCTCTATTTATAGCTATAGATCAACCGTCTTCGGATTAAAACTATGATTATTATTAATGAACCAATGATAGTCTAACTTTATTCATTTATTTCGTATCTTTCTATACTCGCTATATATAAGAACATTCGGCATTGACGGCATTTCTACATCCTTCGCTAAGGTAATTGTTCTGAATGGAGAAACCGGAACGGGGAAGACCTTCAACGCGGTAAAGGCCCTAGAATTCCTGACCAGGAGTGCATCCGCCAACGCTGAGAGTTGGGACAGGGTTTGCAATATCGTATGGAACATCAGGGACGCTTGCCGCTTGATATCGCCCTTCACGATTGCGCCCACCGAGAGGAACCAAGTCAGCTCGAGGCACGTGCAGCTCGTGTGGCTCGAGTACGAGAGGGGCACCATATGCGGGGCGAAGATATCCTCCTACCTCTTGGAAAGGGACAGAGTAACGAAGGGATGCTGTAATTTTCAAATATTTGGCCAGGTGAAAGAGACTAGCTTAGCTAGCCGCGCGCGTTTAAAAAGTTACCTTCGTTACCTTCGTTACATTCGTTGTCCTTTCGCTAAGTTTCGCGAAATGCACTTCAGATGATGTCCGCGATAGAGAACATCGAATTCGCGGACTTGGAACTATCAAAGGATACCCGGTACTTCATAATAAACGATCTGGACGACCGAAAGATGCAGGAATACCGTGATGATTTCTGCGATACCGTGAGAGTGATGGATACGCTGAAACTTTTAGAGTGTCATAAGAAAATGATCTTCCGCGTCCTCGCCTTTCTCGTTCATATGGGAAATATTCAATTTGTGCAGGAGGACGATTATTGCAGAATCGACACCGATAATCTACGTATGTAATCGATATAATTACTGCCACAATTATCGTGAAATAATTATTGTGCAGGGTTGGGTAAGCTAATGTTATATTTTAACTTAATTAAATTAAAGTTATGTAATGGCTAACAAAATTAATTTAGTTAGATTCAAAATTACATGAACAAAAATTAATGTAGTCGAAAGTTGCATTAAAATTAAATTAAATTAAGTTAAATTAAAAGTTAATTTTAAAAAATATTATTCAAAATATTATTAAATTAGAAAGTCGTAATTTTTTAAAATTAAAATATTCCACATAACAAAATAATTATAATATAGATTATCAAATAAATTTAATATTTTTTTGTAAATTAACTTTATATGAAATAACAAAGAGATATTGTTTTTTTTTTTTTTTAATGTGGGAATGCGTTTTTTCTTTTACAACTTTTTCTTCTACTAAATTCTTCTATTAAATTCTAGATAAATTTTTTTTCACTTAGAAAAAAAACTAAGTTAAAGTTTATGTATTTTAAAGACAACTAGTTGAAGTCATAAATTAATTCGTTTAAAATGAACTAAGTTAAAGTTGTTAACTTTTTAATTTTATTAGCTTTAACTTTTAACTTTTTAACTAGTTATTAATCAACCCTGTTATTGTGAATAATCGATGCGACGATTATCCATAATAATTTTCATTCCACGAATAAAAGTGCAAAATGCGCTCTTCGTTGACGATGAGCCGTGAGCATTAGGAAAAAATAAAGCTCGGCGACACTTGATTTCACGCAATTTTCAGAATCTAAAAGAGCTCTGGAGAACTCGTGCCGAGTAGCTGGTATTGACAAAAATCTTTAGTCAAGTTGCTCACATCTACTTTGATAAATCCACGAAACAGCGGGAACACTAAATGCCGACGCAATCTTACCACGATCGATGCTTGCCGCTACCGATTGCACAGCATCATCCGCTACGTGTACGATCTTGTCTTCCAGTGGCTAATCACCTTCGTGAACAGAATTTTGTTGTCTCCTGCAATATATGGAACCAATGAACAATTGGGTATTAACATTTTCTCGATACTATTCAAAACAAAGCCTCAAACAACGTAAGACTAAAAAAAAAAAAAAAAAACCAAATTCATCCAACCCTGTTTTAAAAAAATGAACAAATTCATCCAATTCTTTTTCAGGAATATTGGATATCTTTGGATTCGAGTGCTTTGCATCCAACGGTATCGAGCAGCTTTGCGTTAATTACGTCAACGAAAGATTGCAACAATACTTCGTGGAGAAGTATTTGCTATCTTGTCGAAAAAATCTGGAGATAGAGGGCCTCATTGGCAATGAGGAACCGTCAGAAATTGTGAAATCCTACGAAGATCGCGTAAACACCATCGAGAAATATTTGTTCGCTCCTCTAAACGATGTTAATATCTCCAGATGGTATTTAATAAACAAAATCCATTAATAAAAAATTAACAAGATAAACATTTTCGTCGCAGGTGTGTCTAGCGACAGTCCAGAATGACATGTCCACATTTATATCTCAAGTATGCGCTAGCAGTAGACTCGCAACGAGGCGGTTTTTAAACGTGAAGAATGAAAATTTCGTCGTGCAACACTACGCCGGTCCCGTGAAATACTCCATCTGCGATCTGCTTTCCAAAAATACCGACAAGGTAGTCAGATAATAATGTTGACAAAGTTTGTCGTTGTTGTTTTCCCATCAGACTGTAAAATTAGAACCAAAGAAAGAATTCTTTGAAAAATTTTTCTTCAGATACAAAAAGATATATCGCTAATTTATCTTTGATTTTGGTATAATTTTTTGGTATAGTTTTCAATTGTATTTCACAAATATTTGACAAACCTTTTCTAACGATTTTATTAATATATGTTTTAAGATATCTTGAAGAATTTCTAAATGCGTGTCTAAGATATTAACGTATTTACAGATTCCGGATGAAATAACCACAATGTTCATGAAGCACAAAAAGAACACTTTTCTAGACATTTTTTTAAATCGAATGGAGGAAGAACGTCATTATAACAGCGGAAGAGCGAAAAAGCTTACGATGCTTTCAAAACTGCGAAGCAATGCGAACTTATTGATACGAGAATTAAGGGAGTGTGACACACATTATGTTCGCTGCATCAAGCCACGGTATAATATTTAGCAATAATGAGCAATAATTGTGTTTATTTTTTATGCAATTAAAAATACTATGCGCAGGCGGCTCGTCAACTGCGAATGGGATCGAGATGAGCTTCACAAGCAACTGGTTAACACGGGTATCTTTGATGCTTTACCTCTGGCCAAATGTAAATATCCGATTCACTTTGCCTATAAAGATTTCTACAAACGCTACAGAAGAAAACATACAGGTAAAAAATGTTATATATAAATATTAATATTATATATTCATCATTAATTTATTTTTCCGTAGAAATTTCCAATCTTCGCATTTATTGTAAAAACATAGTTAAGTTTTCCGTAACAATGGATGACGTTAACTCATCGATATATTATGGAAAACGTTCGATTTTCTTGACGGAATCTATGTTTTTGCAATTAGAAACTGCTAGAAGGAGATACCGTATCGAGTGTGTTAAGAAAATAGAATCTTTTTGGATAGAAAACAAACAACGTTATTGTGAAAAAAGTAAGTATACAAGTTCGTATATTTCTTTTGTAATGTAAACTTTAAGATGCAACAGAAATCTATTTGCCAAGGAAGACATGTAGGACGACGATAGTATAAAATAAAATATAAAAAATAAACATATCAAGTTACTCAAGTCTCGTTGTACAATTAGATTTCCGATGCTTTTTCAATTTACCAAAGCAAATCATTGTATTATATTGCAAAAAAATCGAACTAATTTATCTTACTATTTTTATAGAAAAACGCGACAATAAAATTATAGAGAGGAATGTGGCTGAAGATCTTCTTACATTCAAAATTACGGAGAGAGATATGGCTGAAGATCTTCTTACAATCATTAAAGCTGATTACCGCGACTTTCTTGCATACACTTGGGCTCCAGACGGGGCATATACTATCACGCCTTTATTAGGAATAGAGATTTACGTACAAAAATATCAGCGGCAAAATACAATAGAAAATACGGATAATAATACTCGAACAATCGTTAATGTCACCTGTCAAAGCGAAATGACTGCGTCATCCCCATCAGATTATATCTTTAGTCTAAAAGTAGATGATGGATTAGATGGATTAGATAGAATGTATTATCGTCCTGAAGATTATCATAATGATAAAAAAATATTAGCGCACAAGTTTAGTAAAATTGCGTTTATATTCCGTTGGTTGCTAGGCGTGCAAGAGGCGATGTATGCAAAAAAGATTGAAGTTCTTGATGGGCCTCCAGAGCCTAAAAGGCCCCGATTAGATAGTGATTTCGATCAATCGATCGATGCCAATTGCAATGAGGATGTTAAGTCACAGAGCGAATTGCATACGCATTTAGACAATAAGTTTCATATAGAAAATAGATGTGAAAAGAATTATAAAGATCATAATGAGGTGAGTATTCATTAATAATTATGAATAATATACCTTACCCGTTTACATTCACAAAAAATTCTTTAGGATGAAAATATACATATCATACAATATGGCACTTTGATGCTATTCTATAGAAACAGGGTTCTGAGTCGACGTCGTCCGACAAAGGTAAGTGTTGCGGAATAAACCGGATCTATGAAGAAAAATTAAAAATTAACCGCTTTGAAAAAAAAAATTAAAAAAAATCGCCTTTACTATCTTCTTTTCAGATACCAATTAAAATGCATACTCGTCTAAGATGTTTAACCAATTCGCATTATTTAACATATACGCAATTACCACAGGGTCTAAAGGATTGTCTTTAGAAGGAAAATTTATACAAAAACGTAATTCGTAAAAAACCCGTATTCTTGCTACACTAGACATATACAACTTAATAAATAATTTTTACACAATTCACAAAATAAAAAAGATCTTTGTATAATGATTTGAAATATAAGATTTGTGAAGAATCTCTTTCAGGAACTTCTTTTATTTCGACTGACATGGATTGAGACTCATGTCATAGAAAACAAGAAAATTAAGGAGATGTCAATATTGACATTAACAAAATTTTGAAGTTTCCTGAAAGAGGAATACATTGACGATCTCTTTAAATTTTAATGAATACAAATAGCTGTAACTAATTTATAACTAATATAATACAAAACGCCGAGATTAAGATATTCGACTAAATAAAACTTATATATTTTCAGCTTATTAATTATCTAATTACAGGCACACATTTGCCAGATTATAAAAGTTGTAAAAATCCTTCTTTTTATCTTTAATCATAAGTAATCTACGTGATGCGACTAGAGCGTGAGAGGCCGGGAGATCATTTCTTGGGATTTGATAATCTGCTCTTAAAATAGCGCGTTTTAGATTGTGGGGTGGAACCGGACGAGCGCCAGCGAATGCAAATCTGTAATCACGTTCAGATTATATAGTAAAAATCATGCATTCAAGTGATTCTCTCTCTCTCTC